AAGCCTGATGAAAAGAAGAAAGTTGAGGAAGAGAATGAAAAGAAGAAAGGTGAATTCTATTCGTCTTCAATGGAATCTCTCTCCAAGGTTATGATTGTTCAGGGTATTGGAGATATAAGTTTGAAGAGTTTGGCCACTTTCCTTTCTGTCGCAGACAAGTCTCCTAAAGAGGCATCAATAGAGGTGATTAAATCCATGACTGGCATGGATGCCAAGTAATAGATGAGGACTATTACGAAAATTCTGTCATACATTAAAAGCATGGACAAGGACATGAATGGTGTTACCCAAAAAGCAACCTAAGAGGGGGGTGAATTAGATTTCTACAAAATAAAATTAATAATACCACAATAAAATTAACTACTAGTACAACAAATAATTAACAAGCACAATGATGAGCTTAGCAGTAAATGATCAAGCAAAATAACAATGAAGTATAACAAACATACAGGGTAAATCAAATGATTAACACATGAATATTAGATAGCTATAGCAGTAGTATGAAAGTAAAGAGATTAGGGAAGATGAGACAAACAGATTTATAGTGGTTCGGCTTCAACCAAGCCTACATCCACTCCTCAAGTTTCACTTGAGATTTTTCACTATCTTCTAGCTTCACAGGGGTGCTGGCAACCTCTTTACAAATGGAGCAATCCTCCATGGATTTTACACAGACTTCACAAGCCCAAACCCTTACAAATCTTAGGTGATTCACAATCATTCTCAAGATTTCGAGAACACAGTGTTTGCAACACTTTTATAAGATGAAATGGTATTTTTGCTTTCAAAGAAAGCTTACAATAAATATTTCTCAAAGATAGATATATAAAATGAAGTTTTGATTTTTCTGTAAATCTCACACAAGAAAGATAAGCTTAATGCTATAAGGCTAAGTGTATAATTTCTGAGAATAGATGTGAGTGATTATAGAATAAAGAATATTTTTAGGTTTTTGTAACTTATTTACATTAGAGGCTTTGGTATATATAATGAAAATTATAGCTGTTTATAGCCGTTGTATTCATTTGAATTTATAGCCGTTTATAGCCGTTGTACTCATTTGAATTTATAGCCGTTTATAACCGTTGTACTTCCATCATTACCAATTTGAATTTCTTTCACTCCATCATTACAAATTTGAATATCTTCCACTTGAACCTTTTGAACCTTTTGGCCTGCTGCTGTGCTAGGCTGTTTGAACATTTGTTTTGGGCTGTTTGAACTCCTGATTTAATCAACTATTAAATATATTCTAACAACATTTAGGATAAAGGTTTAGGTAAGAAATAATGGGACAAAATAAATTTTGATTTTATTAAAACATTAAATCATCAAAATAAATGTTGGTTTTATTTTTCTCTTTCAAATAAATCATCAAAATAAATTTTGATTCTATTTTTCTCTTCCAAATAAATTAAAACATAATTAAATAAATCATCAAAATAAATAAGTCTAACAAATGGAAAGTTTGACAACTTGACTAAAAAATAGATGTCATGGAGGGAAAGTTCACAACATCACCGAAAAAATGGATGCCATTGATGGAAAACTTCACAACATCACTGAGAAAATAGATGGAAAGCTCAACAATCTTACTTAAAAATGGATGTCATGGATGGGAAAGTTCACAACATCACCGAAAAAATGGATGCAATTGATGGAAAACTTCACAACATCACTGAGAAAATAAATGGAAAGCTCGACAATCTTACTCAAAAAATGAATGCCATAGATGGAAAGTTCGACAATCTTAGAGGGAAGCCTAATGCAGTCATACCACCAGCAACACCATGACACTCTCCATCATTAGCTTTCATTCCGTCTCTGCCATCACTATCGAACTCTGAAAATGGTGGAAATGGCAGTTTTGGAAATGGTGGTGGATATTTGAGTGAGTGAGTCATTATCTTTGATTTGAAGCAGTTTTAGTTTATTTTAGGTGTTAGTTTATTTAAGTTTTCAATAAAAAATTCTCTTTAAAGAATTGTTAGTTTAATTTAAGTTTTGTTTAAACTCTTGTTTATCTTTAGGTTTAAGTTTATTTCAGTTACAACTTTGTTTATATTAATGAAACCTGTTTATATTAGTTAAACTCTTGCCTATCCTTGGGTTTAAATTCTGGTCTATCTTTAAGTTTGAAGTTTTTTTTTTTTTTTGATAATTTTAAATTAAAGTAAAATGGGTAAATTACATTTATCTCCCCTGAGATTTCTGACAAATAAAGGGACCTCCTCTGTGGTTTGAATGATTACAGTAACCTCTCCTGCTTTATCTGACAATGTCAAGATTTCCCCTTCTGTCAAATTGTTCCAAACAGTGTTACTTTTTGCTATAGTAAATTACCTTATTGCCCTTTCCTTTAAAATATTAAAAAATGTTTTTGGATTGGAGGACAGGTTTGGAAGAAACAAACAGTGTTTGGAACAGTATTTTTGGATTTATTTTTTTTTTTTGAATTGAGTTTTGGATTATGTGTTTGGTTGCAATTTGAGTGTGGAGTTTTAAAAATAGTGGTGTTTCAAGTTATGTGTTTGGTTATGAGTTTTGAAAATAATTTTTGAATTGAGTTTTGGATTATGTGTTTGGTTGCAATTTGAGTGTGGAGTTTTAAAAATAGTGGTGTTTCAAGTTATGTGTTTGGTTATGAGTTTTGAAAATAATTTTTGAATTGAGTTTTGGATTATGTGTTTGGTTGCAATTTGAGTGTGGAGTTTTAAAAATAGTGGTGTTTCAAGTTATGTGTTTGGTTATGAGTTTTGAAAATAATTTTTGAATTGAGTTTTGGATTATGTGTTTGGTTGCAATTTGAGTGTGGAGTTTTAAAAATAGTGGTGTTTCAAGTTATGTGTTTGGTTATGAGTTTTGAAAATAATTTTTGAATTGAGTTTTGGATTATGTGTTTGGTTGCAATTTGAGTGTGGAGTTTTAAAAATAGTGGTGTTTCAAGTTATGTGTTTGGTTATGAGTTTTGAAAATAATTTTTGAATTGAGTTTTGGATTATGTGTTTGGTTGCAATTTGAGTGTGGAGTTTTAAAAATAGTGGTGTTTCAAGTTATGTGTTTGGTTATGAGTTTTGAAAATAATTTTTGAATTGAGTTTTGGATTATGTGTTTGGTTGCAATTTGAGTGTGGAGTTTTAAAAATAGTGGTGTTTCAAGTTATGTGTTTGGTTATGAGTTTTGAAAATAATTTTTGAATTGAATTTTGAGTTATGTGTTTGGTTGTGATTTGAGTGCGGAGTTTTGAAAGTAGCGTAGAATTTCGAATTATGTGTTCGATTATGAGTTTTGAAAATAGTTTTTGAATTGAATTTTTAGTTATGTATTTGGTTACGATTTGAGTGTAGAGTTTTGAAAGTAGTGTAAAATTTCGAATTATGTGTTTGAATATAAGTTTTGAAAATAATTTTTGAATTGAGTTTTGAGTTATGTGTTTGGTTACGATTTGAGTGTGGGGTTGTGTTTTGAGTTTCAAATATTAAAATTAAAATATTTACTAAATAAAATAAAACATTTAAAATATTTAAATATTTAAATATTTAAATAAAAATTATATATTTAAAATAAAAAATAATTTTTTAAACATTTTTTAATATTTAAAAAAAAATAAATCAAAAAATACTGTTCCAAACACTGTTTGTTTCTTCTAAACCTGTCCTCCAATCCAAAAATATCTTTTAATATTTTAAAAGGAAGGGCAATAAGGTAATTTACTATAACAAAAAGTAACACCGTTTGGAACAATTTGACAGAAAGGGAAATCCTGACATTGTCCGGTAAAGCTGAAAAGATTACTGTAATTATTCAAACCACACGGGAGATTCCTGTATTTGTCAGAAACCTCAGGGGAGGTAAATGTAATTTACCCAAGTAAAATTATAATTTAAAAAAAAACCATCAAATAAATATAATGAGTGTAATATGTGAAATCAAATTGGCGAAATCCGTACGAGAACGAAACAAAACACCTGTGAAGGAAGAGGAATGAGACATGCTTCTGCCCTCAATGCTGCAGCAGATATATTTGACTTCTTAAATGATATTTTATTTATATATATAGACTTACATATAAATAATTTAATTAAAATTTATAAAATATAGCTTGACAATTTTGTTTATTTGGTGTATTACATTAGATCAATGCTAGTTTGATAATAAATAAATATAATGTTAATTTTGATATCCTTATAATAGTATTTTAAAGACATAAGATTATAGAACTTCTTGTAAGCACCATATAAGAGAGAGAGAGAGAAAAAAAAGGACAAACACTTCTCTTAATAATAAATGGCCTTGTTTGAGTCATTTTATTTGAGTAATTTATATTTTGTTTACTTTAAAATTTTGTGTTAAATTGTTTAGTGCATGTTCAATTTACAATTTATTAAGTAAAAATAGTTTAAATAAATTAGAAAAACTAATTATCTAAAAGTTAGATGAGTGGTAATTTTAACTTTTGTTTTCATGTTTTAACTTTTAATTTATAACAAGTGCATCAAATAAATTAGGTGGCAGCACTTTTGTATTTGAGTAATGGGTTCGTATCATGGTACTTTTTCCGTATTGTCTTGTATGATTTCACTATGTGGGCGTTTATGTAGTGATCTATAATTAGGCTATGATTTTCTGGAAATTATTTATTTCAATCTGCTTGTGTCTGAAAAGTTGAAACCCCAAAACCTTTTTTTAATAGTTTCCAAATGTTGATCAAAATGTATCCTCCTTGCCTCACTTCACATACAAAAAAAAAGTCTAAAAAATAGAAAAATCCAAACATTAATAGACTGTTTCAGTAATGAAAATCTACCTTTGCAATGCCAATTTTAAACAATAAAAACCTCAATAGATCAATTCCTAGATTTATTCAGTATTGGGTAGTTGAAAATCCGATGAAAACACTCACTTCAACTTCTATAACTCGAACCAAGCCCCAGAACTGGCATACCACAGCATCCAAGTACCCATTTACGAAAAAAATTGCCACAACTCATATAATGGTATAAAACTTTCAATCAAATAATCAGCACTTAAATGGTTTAGAATTGTGAAACAATAAGTTAAATAGCTGCATTTTAAATTACAACATCCGTGTACGGTAAATCATATGAATAGGTTGAATAATTTATTCTACACATTTAATAATCCAACAATTTGGATAAAATAACAAACAAACGTGAACCCAATTGAGATTGTGGTTCTGCTAATGAGAGAGGCGTTGTGGAGTTGTGTACAGGTTGAGAGTGCATTGATTGCTAGATTCCAACCCAAAACCGCAACTTTTAGTTTCAGATGCGGAATACAAACCATCTCAGTCAAAGGAGTTGCCAATCACAGTCATCTTCTTGTATTCCGCCCTCTGAATTATTACCGTGCACAATGTCAAAAGACTCGTCCTGTTGATTCCGACTAGTGTCACTTAGCATGTCATAGTGATTGGCTGCCCTTGGCGAATGGAACACCCTTTGATTCATCAGCTAGCTTGGAAGCACGGTTACAAAAATCATCAAAATCATCTGTCAAACAGGGAAAAAAAAGAAAAAAAAAAAAGAAAAAGAAAAAAAGAAGAATGTCATGGTCAAAAAAAGCTTCAATCCTTGAGCAATAATAAAATAAATGTATGGAATTTAATCAAGAACAGCCAGCCAGCATGCATAACTTTGTCCCTGCAGTAAAACCCAACTGCCAAGGATGAATCAACGGAGTCAAGGGGTATGAGCTGTACAATGCCGGAATCATTATCAAAACAAATAAGGGAAAAACAAAAAGCAACACAAATAAATGGCAGAAGAATAAAGTAAATGGAGGATGATAATAAAGCAATCACTATGTCTCAAAACTTACTTGCAATGATAAGATGAAGTATTGGCCTCTAGATTATACCTCCTGATATCAACTACCTGATTATGCGACTAGCTGATGAGAAAATGGGTTATACATTATGAATACTCACACATCATAAAGCAAAAAGGCAACAACATAGTTAATGCCATTTTTTTTTTATTAGCAACAACATATTTCATCGTTCCAGGTAATTAAAGATCATTACTGGACAATGATCAGAAAATAAAACTAAGGAAAGCAAATCAAAACTGAGGAAAACAATGACGTTCATTTTGCAGGGACTGCCATTCTAAAACCACCTAGGCATTTAGCATTTATACATTTAATTTTAGTATACATTTTAAAGGCTAAGTATATATATAGGCTTGATATAAAACATATAGTTTCAATACAAACCCAGTACAACATGAACATATTTTCTAACAGTGGCACTTTAAAGGTTGCCTACCATTTATAGTGAAAAAGGACTTTATCAAATCAATATTCTAAAAACAACTCATACTGTGAACTTTGATTTAAACTACGGTTTTGTATCATTTCACTTACGGGTGTAAATTTGGTCTGACCCAACCTGCCTCACTTGCGTCTGAGGTGTGGCCAGCCCATGTCGGGCTGCGCGGGCTTCCGCCAAAATTTGGGCTGGGCCCAGCCAAGTCACGGGCCAGAAAATTAAACCTAGGCCCAGGAAATATTTGGGCCTTGAGCAAACTGGCGGATCAAGATACAACACTTTAATTAAAGTTCACAGATTTTATTAGTAAAGTTTAAGAGGTTTATATCAAGATCTTTTTGTAAAAAAACTGATGTATTATTGATTGATATATTGTTGATATACTGTCTATTACAAATGGTTCCTTATATAGATGTAGGTGTAGTGGATGGTGGTGGTAGGTGAGTGTAGTAGGTGAGTGTGTGGTAGGTAATGGTAAGTGTGTGGTAGGTGAGTGTAGTAGGTGAGTGTGTGGTAGGTGATGGTAAGTGTGTGGTAGGTGATGGTAAATTTTAACAGCCCCCCGCAAACTCTCCTCCTCCTCCTCCACCACCACCACCACCATCACAATAAAAAAATTAAAATATATAATTTAATAATAAATTTTAAATTTTATCTTATATATATCAAATAATTTATTTTTAATTCAGTAGTTAAATTTTTATCAAACATCTTTTCAACTTAAAAAATTTAGGATTCAGTTTTTAATACTTAATTTTCAGTTTTCAACTTTATTAAACACCACCATAGAGAGGAGGTTAATCTTTTTTCAATGTATAGTTTAGATGCTTCCTGTTGCAATATATATTAATCTATAGGGGACCTTCCGAATGCGCTGCATAAAATTCTTTGAAAATTTCGTATTTGCTAGACATCATTTGTAAATATTTGAAGATTCAAGCAACCCCACAATGTTGGAGATTCTTTGTTATTCCAGCATAGACATAATAGAACACAGTAAGGAACCAATTAATGCAAGTGAGATATAATATCAAAGAAAGTAAGACACAAGAAAAGGAAGAACTGTTACCTCTTTCTTGAGTATGTGAGGAACACTCTCAATTGATACAAGGCTGTTAAACTCTGCAGATAGGTTTGATTCCTTAATTCCAGACCACATATGAGAGGGCAGGGCCAACAACAACATTGTTAGAGCATCATTGACAATTAAATGGCCATTGTTTACACTGCAGCCACTCATACTTGGATCAATAGTTTGGATAATTTTACCAGGCCCTTGCTCCCTGCTGCAGGTAACTGGCTCACTCATTTCAACAGAGACACTTTCATAATTGCCTTTTGAAGAACCCGCTGAATCTGTAGAGTATAATCGACCAGAAGAACCAGGGTTCAATGTTGAATGCTTGCCCCCATAAGAAGCCACATTTGCTGCAATCTCAAGCTAAGCATGCTGATTGCCAGAACTTGTCACAAATCCGCTATCAGAATTCATAGAATCCATCCATTTGCTGACTCGCTTATGCAATTCTGTCTCCCGTAATTGCATTAATAACTGGTCCTGAAACCCAAAAACAAGAAGCTAAATTATAAGATAATCTTCAGATAAAATGGGAGAGGTCAGAGAGAACAAGGGAGAAGGGAAAGAAGTTTCAATTTTAACAGGTGAGTAACAGGAAGCATATGTAGCAGAAGATAAATGACACCTGGGTAGTAAGCCTTTTCCTCTTCCTTTCGCTTGAATGAACATGCCCGTCCTTCCCTTGGGCTTCAGCAACTGGCTTAATAAACACACTGAAATTGGTACAGACTGACATAAATAGGACGGATAGAATTTGATTAACATCTTTTACATCCTCTGACTCTAATAGAAGGGGTATTTGTCAAAGATGATTTGCAGTCCTGATCCAACTCTCATCACGACAGCTCTGCACAAAGTCCACAACAATTTATGTCCAATGTTTATTCACAAAACCACAACAGCAATGCAAATGCCAAAACTGAAAGCTAACCACTATCATAACAATCCCAAGAAGATCTCATTAGGAAAAATCAAATGTCCACTAAACATATATTTTCAATAAATTTCATATATTTCAAATGCACCTTTCACTTGGTATAGGTAGGACTCGGTAGTCTATGGCTATGGGCCGGTCATGCCTTAATCCAACTAGGATGGGATTTTGGTTGTGAACTGCTATAACACTCAACCCACTAAATGTGTCTATGTAAATGCATGAGTGCATTTTATACCTATAATGCTCATAACTGAAGTGCACATAATAGAAATGCAAAGCCTGTGTGCATTATCTCCGAAGTGCGACATTGTAGAACACAAAGGTTGTGCAAGATAGAATGTGGTTCCTTGAGCATTCGAACACAAATTATAAGCATTCGATTGGAACAGTTTATTTAAGTCAATAGAATGCTTGTCCAATCACAAGTTTGATTTGTTCGAATGCACTATTCAATGGAAAAGTAAAGTTGGATTATAGTAGGATCTATGTTAGAATGTGCAGCTTCTTCATTGGAATGTGCTGTCAGTATGACCTAGTATTAATGTATCTGAATCAAAATCTTGTGATTTTGGTTTTCTATATCCTTTTGGTTCTGTTTTCTGACATATAGATGCTTCGTCTTCTATGTTAGAACATACATGCATAAGAGAGAGGGAGAGAGAGAGAGAGAGAGCTTAAGTGAGTTTTGGCTTATAATCCGCATACATACATATCTTGAGCTTCTTGGTGATTTTTTTAAGGTTTACAAATCCCTTGGTGATCTTTGTGGTGAGTGTGAGTATTGGGATTGGCTCCTAAGCTAAGCCACATACTCATATAGATTTAAGGCAAGTGCATGATCGGTTTGTACTGTTGATCTTATCCATGTGGAGGATTGACGCCAATACTGTTGAGAAATTATTTGAACACCTCAAGTTGTCCCTGAAGGTTTGGAATGGTCTCCATTTGAGAATAGCAATAAAACTAATTGGTTGGAAAGAACTTTTGACAAGATGGAATTTAGAGTGGCAGCCTTTGAGTGTGAAAGATACAAGTCTTTGAAGCCAGATGGACTTTCTATGGCAGTTTTTTGAGATTGTTGAGATGTTAAATCTGATTTGACGAAAGTCTTTGCGGAATTTTTTGAGAAAAGAATCGTTAATGCTTGTAGAAGTACTTCATTTATATGGGCATTCTTAAGAAGAGTTCTTTGAAAATTGGTGGTTCCACTGGGATCAAAATTTTCCTCAATCCTAAAAACAGCAACCAATAAACTAAATAACAAAATCAATGAACATGATTCTAAGCCAATCCCAGTAAGTGGAAACCAATTCCTGACTATTGTCAGTTCAAAATAAAACAGCACGTGGAAAACAAGTGCAACAAGAAAAGGCATAAATAATGACTATTTTATAAATGAAAGACAAATAATGAATTCATGTAATTATAACCGAAAGATCTTGCAGCAAGCATCATACCAGTGTATAAAGCACGCAAGGATCATAGGGAAGCCATGTTAGAACCATAAACCTATAAAAACAGAAATACAAGAATTAAAATTGCAGAAAACAAGTGTATTGATTCCATACAAGTAGTGCAGTAGTGCAAGTTTATAAAGTGGATGAAACATATGAACTTCATCTTTATAACCAATAGGCTCTCTGAATCTGAAACAGGATGTAAATAATGTTACTTACCCATTAAAAGGAATGTAAATAATAGAGTGTACAAAAAGATGACAAGCCCCACAAGTTATTGAAGTGGAAAAACATATGAAATTTTTCTACATACCAACTGGCTTTCTCAATAAGAAATAGCAGTTAAATAAAGTGACGTACAAAAATGACCAGTGCCTACATGGAAGATAATGAGAAAGCTAACATTTTACCATCAACCACTCGTGACAGAGAAAGAGAGAGAAAGGGAGGTAGGTCCCTTCATGTATACTCCCACATCTTTTCTCTTAAATATATTTCCACAACATGTGGGTTTTAAGGGTTTGGGTCCTTAAATTGCAATGGTGAAATTAAAGTGATGATGCTTTTAGGTTTGGTAGATCAGTAATTGTTGGTTGCATCCTTCATCTAAAAAAATGAAACCCTTAAGCATGTAAATGCAATCAGTTACGGAATTATAGTCTATGGTGGGATTCATAACTGGTGGTTTTTGGTTTTTAGGTTGATTTCTACAAGTAGATTTTGCTCTTTCTTCATCAATTCATCTTGCTTGAAAGATGTTTCCCTATTGGATTGGGAATGGGTCTTTGTAGTTGAATGTATGTATGTATGTATGAATACACATAGCTTGCACTGTGCTTCAAATAATTTCTATGTTTAGAAGATTGGGCATGACAGGTCGTAGTTAGTGGTTATGGGGGTTTGTAGTGGGGGTAATGGTGATAGATTGCAGTGATGATGGAATATGGTGGTTTGGTTATTGGGTGGTAGCAATAGCGAGTTGCAGTGTGTTCCAGTGGGTAGCCAATGGGGATGTTTCTCTTTCTCAATCTGCCCTTCTCTCCCTCTATTTTCCACTCACTAGTGGGTTGACCTCTACAATTGGGTTCAGGGCACAACCTTGTAATTGCCAGAAACCTCAAGCAAGGTGTGTGTAATTAACCCTTTTAATATAAATACAAGTGTAAATGAGAGGCAACCCTACTTTTTGGGTCTCTCTCAATAGCCATACATTCTATCTTCTCATTCTCTTATTCTGCTCTTTACTGTATCAGTTTTAATTGGTGGTGAAATCAAAATATGGAAGTATGAGGGGGATTGGTCTTCGATGGAGGTTTCTATGTCCCAAAAAACCATGGACATTCTAAGAAGATAATGTGTCAGGTCCAACACCGGGTCTCACATTGACACGACACTCATTGGACACTTCCCAACACTTCACACATTTACAAGTTTGAATAAACTAACTTGGTATCAAATGAGAAAAGAAAAATAATTTAAATTTATACCTATTTTCCTCCTTCAAATTTTAAAATTTGTTATCTTTGAATTAAATATTCATATCTGACATATAATAATCATCTATCCCTATATATGACATATAAGTAATATATAAAATTATATATTTTGTACGCGTTGCTCATGTGTCATCTCTGACACTTTTTGAAAATTTCCATGTTGGTGTGTTTGTGTCAGGTCACATGTCCATGTTTGTGTCCCTGCTTTTTGGCTATGTCATATGGAACGGCACTTCAAAAAGATTTTCCAAGTCATATTTGTTGTTGGGAATGGTGAAGAGTTTGCTTTTGGAGTCATCTTTGGCGTGAAGAGGACAAGCTGGAAGAGCATTTCTCTATTCTTGCTCATATTTTCGTTAATAGGGGAGTAGTTAGAGAATATCTTTAAGAGGAAGGCACTCAAGTTTTTGAGGACATTGCTTTTCATTGAGAGTTGAATGATTGGGAGGCGAAGGAGTTTGGGAATCTTCCAGATATTTTTTATGCTATTCCACATATAGGAGAGGGAGAGGATGTCCTGTGGTGAACAAGATTTAACTCCGAAGGCTTTGAGTTCATAAAGGTTTGTCCTTTCCTTAGAAAGGAGTTTGGGTTTCCAAAGCTCTGTCTTGTATGGATGGAAGTGCATATAAAAATAGTTGCCATTCATAACTTGATTAGGAGGCGGCCAATTCATGTTGAGTGATGTTATATGTGCAAGCAAGATGGGGAATTTTCAGTTGTCTCCTTATTTATTGGCTATGGTTTAGTGTGGGAATTCCCTAGGAATGTGTTGGATTTTATCGAATTTGGGAAGGGGGGCTCGAGTGGGGAAGAGAAGGAAAAAAAGATTGGTTTTTGGTGCATTTAGCTTTGATATGAATTATTAGGGGAGAGTGCAATCAGAGGACTTTGATAGGGTGGATGAACCTAATTTTATATTGAAGGGTAGAATTTTGTCTGTTTTGTATAGTTGGTATGCAGGTAGAGGTGATCCATCCTTGAAATAAGTTTTGGAATATTATAGTCTTTTGAATAAGGATATGATGTTATAGATGTTTTAACACCATAAGCAAGGATATTTAACACCTCAAGATAGACAATATTTCACTCTACTTGCAAACTGACGTAGGCCAGATGTGGGTACAAGTAGCTAGATTCCCAAAACTGATGTAATCAGATCTTATGGACTGCATCCAGAATTATCTCATCAAAATATTGTTGAATAGACATAACTAAGATATCTATCAACAACAAAAAAAACGAATAGACATAACTAAGATATCTAAAACCGCCTATCCAAACCAGAAAGAAATTACAAACCAAAATTTGGCCCCATAGTTATTCTTCCACATCCTCTTTAAGTGACTTATACTTAAAGGTCATGTTTGATTCACAAGATTAATAGTGAAGTATTAATAATCCTATTAAATTAGTGTGGTATTCACTATCCAATTGGATTAATATCCATTGGGAGAGGATAGTAAAATTTCACTTGAGGGTATTTTTCTCATATTTTGACCTTTGTCCTTTATGGAAAAAACAAAAAAAAAAACAAAACAATCAAAAGATAGAGATTGAGGGACCTCTCTTCAAAAGTCCCTTTTTTTGGTTTGGGAAAAATTCAATTTACCCCCCTTGTGGTTTGAGCATGGAGCAGTTTACCCCCTACAGTTTAAATATAGGCAGACAAACCCCTTATGCTTTTGGACCAAACTACATTACACCGTCAATGAAAAATGTGAAATAACTTTAATACCCCTGCTTTTTTTCTTCTCAAACTTTTCTTATCTATTATACACGTAATTTCTGGCTTAAATCAATATTAATTGAAACCAAAACCACATATTAATACTGAATTCCTAATTATTATCTTAACTCTGAATTTTGTAACCTAATTTTAGTATGATATATATGCACACAATCTGCATATATTTACAACCCAACATATATGTACAGTGTATAACATTTGTTCCCATCCAACAAATATAACAAATACAAATATAATACCTAACAAATATAATATCTAATGTTGGATGTAGATCAAATACAAACTTGATTCATACATAGATTGACATTCACAAAAAATGTCAGAATTGATTTTTATGAATACGAAAGGCTATGACTGAAACAGAGCTAAGACCAAAACGCAATCAAGAAACAAAATCCCGAAGTTTCTGTTAGGTCTCAAACTACAGAATAAACAAGATCTAACATCATATCCAACCAAACACACAACACACACATAACATGCGATGCATACATATACAAACACAATTTTATATACATATCCAGTACCAGTATACATAAACCCATCTCTCTCCACCAAAAATTAACAGTCCATATCAACAAAATCAAATTTTATAGATCAAATTTAAATTGAGCTACAACTTATTTGCAATGGAAAATACACACAATTGTTGAGTCTTGTCTCTAGCTTTGGTGTTACTCCCAAAAATTTTCAAAAAGCAAATTGTCTATATATGCATATGTATGTGCAATTGTGTATATATGTATTCGCTTTGATGGAGTTGATGAGTTTGGGATTTATATCTTGGTGGTGGTGGAAGGTGATGCCGGTGATAATAGGTTGGTTTCTTTAGTGGTTGGTGAAATTGTTTGGAAAAGCTTCACAAAGGGGCAGTGATGGGGCTGGAAAGGAAAGAAACAATTGCAGTGGTAGTCGGGGTGGGTAGAGGGAGTGGTAGATGAGGTGGCTGTAGGTGGCTTGGAGGAGGGAGTGTGGGTTTGGTTCGGATTAGGTTTTGTGGGGTTAGGGTTTTCAAGGTATCAAGATAGAAGATGAAGATAGGGCTAGTTTTGTCTTTTAATTATTTTAATTTCACTTTATTTATAAGAAAAATCATGCTCACTCTCAAAAATAGCGTGTGTATTACACATTTTGTTAATTTGGACAGAAAGTATAACAGTTGCACTTTAATCCAAAATCACAAGGGGTCTCTCTGTCTGTATTTGAACCATAGGGTAGTAAACTACTCCGAGCCCAAACCACAAGGGAATAAAGTGAATTTTGCCCTTTTCATTTTTGATAGTCAAATATTAATTTGCACTAATAGCATTTAAAAATGCATATTATTAATATTTCGAAAACGACATTAATGGCAACACATTCTATCATTTAAAGATAAAATTCTAAAAAATGGATCAAAAGCAAAATTATCGCTCAAGTGTAGTACTGGTTTACTTCATTATAATCCATGTTCTTATACTTTTGAAAAAAACACATTGACAGCTTTATAAGTTGATATGTATAAAAAAATGAAGTTTTTAGTTTGACTTGTATCATTATTTTTGTTAATTTTTTTATTTAAAATTGTATTAAATAAAGATTACAATAGTCAGATCATTAAGTTCTTACCACAGATTTTCTGCTAGATATATATGTGTGTTCTCTTTTATTAAATGCTGAGATATGTTTCATTTCTTTTTATTTTTAGAGAACAAACAAACGAAATTGCATTGAAAAGGTAGTTGATATCTGTGAAATCTGTTGTAGATGATCACCTGTACATAAATTGTGGCGGTGGAGTAGCATCAATCAATGGAACTGAATATGAAGCTGATAATGAAACTCTTGGAGGTTCTTCGCATTTCTTTTTGAGTCCTAATAAAAAATGGGGATACAGTAGTATGGGAAGTTTTTCTGAGTCATACCCTGGCTGGTGGTCCCCATCCCCATTCCGATCCCCATCCCCATCCCAAAGCAAGTACCTAAGCTATAAAACATGTAACCTTAACATGTCCGATGCAATATTGTACAACACTGCGCGCATTGCCCCCATATCCCTCAAGTACTATGGATTTTGCTTAAAAAATGGACATTACATTGTGAAACTTCACTTTGCTGAAATAGCATGGAATCAACAGAGAGGGCTTAATCAGACAAAGCTTAGCAGCACATTGAAGCGAATTTTCAATGTGAAAATTCAGGTACCTAAACTTAACAGAGTCTATATACCTTTGGTAGTTGTTGGTACCTTTTAACAAAAATTGCAACCTATGAAGTACGGGCATGGACAAAGACATGTGGATGACACATGCAAAATATATCAACTTAAATATATTATATAAGGAATAATTATTATGTGTAATTATTGTGTGTCTTGTTTATGAATATTTAAGTCAAATATAATAATTTCTGAAGTTTAAAACATAATAATAGATATTTATTTACATATTTTCTATTTTAGTATTGGATCCAAGCAGTGCTGTAGTCAAAAATTTGATTTAATGGGGTCATTCAATTGGTTATCATCGGTATCATTATTTCATATTTCTAGTGGGTCTGGCTTCTCTCAAGTGATCATCTTAACTAGAAAGAGCGTTTGGGCTTGGCAGACCCATTTTGGGTGCGATTTCGGTCATCCAAACTATTCACTTTGTGGGACTCATTGAGTAGAATATATTCATGTAAAAAATCAAAATGGTTGGACATTGGTAGCTATATGTTTAGATCAAATTTGTATTACAAAAAATGGATGGCTATTCTTGAAATTATATTTGTTGTCAAATTTTGTAAAACAAATATAATTCGAACATATAACTATCAAGGTTCAACATCTAGTTTTTTTTTATATGAATATCCTACTCAACGAGTATTAAAAGTGAATGGTTCAAATCACCGAAATCGGTACCAAAAGTGCAAATACTCTCTCAAGTTTAGATGACAACTTGACCATTCTACAAATGTTTTCAAAATAAACTTTCATATAATATACAATAATACATTGTAATAAAATATATTTTTAATAATAACATTACAAAAATAATTCAAACTGATTAAATAACATGTACAACAAAATTTAGGGACATTAATAAACTATTGATTCAATGAAACTAACGACAGCAACACTACGATTTATAATCAATTGAGCAAAGAGAGTGAGAAAAAAGACAATGAGTCGTCACGTGAGGAAAAGAAAAACAACTTGTAAACACTTTAAGTATCTCATGATTGAAACGAATGATCATTTTTTTAAAAAAAATTAAAAAAAGAACAAGAAAAAAAGAGTACTAATACATAAATATAGAATTTTTGTACGCTTCTTGTTGTCTCTTCATTTTTAATCAAAAGACTCATTATTATTCTTATATTTTAAAAAATCTCATTGACATGTCATTCTAAATATATTTTATGTGAAAAAAAATTATTTACAATCATTTTTCTTTTAAAAAAGTAACACCATTATATTTAATTGTGTAATAATTTTAGTACTGTCAATTTATGAAAACCTCTCGAAAACATTACATAACACTATATAATCCTAAACATATTTCAAAGTTTAGTGGGTTCAACCCACTCAACAACATGTAGGTCCACCCCTAATTCCAAGTAATTATATTCAAAATTCTAATGTGTTTCACGTGTATTTAAATGTTGAAAAGTGTCCAATGAGTGTCGTGTCGTATCGATGTCTAACACAATATTAGACTCGACACATGACCTTCTTAGAAGTGTCTATGCTTCTTAGTTTTTACCTTAAAATATAGTATTGAAAGTTGATTACTGCGTACAGGACAAACAGGTACTGACAAATTTCAATATAGTAGAACAGGCTAAGGGTGTTGACCAGAGTATCACTCAAGAGTTTGAAGTTCATGTGAATAACAGCCAACTAGAGATTCACTTATATTGGGCTGGCAAAGGCTCTACAGGTTACCGATTTTCACAATATGGTCCTTTGATATCTGGTATTTCTGTACATCGTGTGAAAGATAAACTCTCTCCTCTAGTTATTGCTGGGATTGTAGCATCTGCACTACTTATCGTTGCATTAGCTTTACTATTGCTCTGGGAATTGGGCTACTTTCAGAAGAAAGGATTGCATGATGAAGGTAAGAATGACAAATGATAATGAACTTCAGTTTCCATGAGTTCCATGACTATAACCTTGACATCAGTTTGCATGTCGATAATGATCTTTGTACTGATTTTCTTGTTCTTTCATTTTTTTTTTCCCTGACTTTTATGTATTTAAACAGAACTTAAAGGCATGGAGTTATTATCTGGCTCGTTTTTCAATGCTCGACAAATAAAAGTTGCCACACAAAATTTCAGCCCTGCAATGAAGCTAGGCGAAGGGGGTTTCGGATCTGTCTACAAGGTTCAAATTTAATTAATTTTTTTTTTTTTACTGTTAAAACCTATCACCTACTTCACCTACTAAACCTAACCCACTACACCACTACCACCTCTCTTTTATTTTAAAGCCTAAAGTATTTTAAAAGGTATAAATATAATCGATATCACACATGTAATATTTAATTATATTAAATTTAATAAAATAGCAATAGATAATTCAGAGTGTAACTTTAATCTTAAACATCTTTAGAAGATATATTCTGATTTTATCAGAGCAAGGTTAAGAATTTAGTATTTTTCGTTTCACCGGCGGGCGGCAACCTCGCCTTGGCCGCCCACCGGACCTCAACCTATTCCGCTTAATTTTTCTACACATACCTTGATCACTCTGCATGTCCTTCCTCCTCCTGCTGCTGAATACTGGTTTGCAACTTTGCTCGGTCAGTTCAAATTACACAAGTTCCTATCCTCTGTCAAAGAGAATGGATTGATGCAACCCTCCGAATCTTCATGGCTGAAAAGCCTTGGAAGACACCTTTGCAACATCAGTGGACGAGGACAATGAATCATCATCAGCTACAGTCCTCGATCTCACAAACTTCCAGCTACACGATCTCAACTCAGTCGAGCTTCCACCGAGTCTGACCGAGTTGGACCTCACCGCCAATCGACTCTCCACCTTGGACCTCCGGATTGCCCACCTTTCCAACCTCAGGAAGCTCACTCTCTTTGTGCTCTCTGTCGCCGCCGATGGTCGCAGTCCCTCCATCGTCGCCGATGTCGTCCTCGATCTCCCTCCTCGGCCATTGTCACTCTGACACGATGGTGCCCGGCTCCGCCGACAAAGTCCAAGGCAATTACAAATAAATACATGCATGTTTGCTTCATCTCCACCCCCAAATCTCAGTTGACACCGCGACAATCAGATCAGAGGTAGCTCGTAAAATTCATTTCTCAATGGTTATAGCAACTCCATGGCTCGACAAGCCCCAAAATCTCTAGATTCAAACCCTACGATCTCGATTACCACCAGATCTCTTCAATCTGCTTTGATCTCTGATCTCTCGCGATCGGAAGCAACCCTAGGATCGATGGCGGGGGCGGTCGCTCCTTGTAATAATGTCGTTGTCCCTCCTGGAAACACTGGACTAACCCTTCCCAGACTTCTTTCTTCCCGTGGTCAATATTCCAACCAAAATTAACAAGGGTACTGTTGAAATTATTACCCCTGTGGAGCTTATCAAGTAGGGTGACAAAGTGGGGTCTTCCGAGGCCGCCCTCCTTGCAAAACTTGGCATTCGCCCCTTCCCTTATGGTCATTGGGTCTCTCGGAAGTTTTGGGTCAACAAACACGAGCATCATCATTAGATACCTCTCTCTCTCTCTCTCTTTTTTTTTTTTCTTTCCAACCCATGTACATTTTTTTTTTTGTTATTCTATTTTTTGACAACCCATAGGGTCCCAAGTCTCTCTCTTCTTTTTTCCAACATAATCATCTCTCCCCGAGCATCATACGCACAAACCCATTCTTCTTTCTAGATTCTCTTCCCTTCACTCCACTTTCTCACATGGATTTTGTCTCCTCTTTTCGTTTCTTTTTATTTTACTATTCTCTACCATTAAAAAAAAAAAAAAAAAAA